TGTGTGTGTGTGTGTGTGTGTGTGTACGTACACCACATCTTTGTCCCTTTATCTATTGAAGGACAATTGAGTTACTTCCATATCTTGGCTATTGAAAAATAATGCTGCTGTGAAATCAATGGGTGTATCCTTTTTGAATTAGTATTTTTATTTTCTTCCTGTAAATACTCAGAAGTGAAATTACTGGATCATATGGCAGGATCATTTTTAATTTTTGGAGGAACTTCCATACTGGTTTCCAAAGTGGCTGCACCAATTACATTCCCACCAAAACAGCTCAAGTGTTCCCTTCTCTCCACTTCCTCACCAACACTTACTTGTCTTTTTGATGATAGCCATTCTGATAGGTATAAGGTGATAGATAGCATGTTGTGGTTTTAGTGTGCATTTCCCTGATGATTAGTGATGTTCAACATCTTTTCTTTTCATGTGTCTGTCAACAGTCTCAGTGTTTCCTTTGTAAAAATGTCTATTCAGGTCTTCTGCCCATTTTTTAGTCAGGTTTTTTTTTTGACATTGAGTTGTATGAGTTCTTTAAATATTTTAGATATTAACCCCTTACCAGATACGTTGTTTGCAAATATCTTCTTATATTCAGTAGGCTACCTTTTTGTTTTGTTGATTGTTTCCTTTGCTGTGCAAAAGACTTTTAGTTCAATGTCCTGTTTATTTTTGCTTGTTTCCCTTGCCTGAGGAGATATTCAGAAAAATATTGCTAATACTGATGTCAAAGAGCATGCTGCCTATGTTTTCTTCTAGAAGTTTTATGGATTTTCAGGTCTTACAGTTAAGTCTTTAATGCATTTTGAGTTTATTTTTGTATATGATGTGAGAAAATAGTCCAGTTTGATTCTTTTGCATGCAGCTGTCCAGTTTACACAACACCATTTATTGAGGTTGTCTTTACCTCATTGTGTATTCTTGCCTCTTTTGTCATAAATTAATTGCCCATGAGTTTGGATTCATTTGATTCATTTCTGGGCTCTCTGTCTGTCCCGTTAATCTGTGTGTCTATTTTTGTGACAGTCTCATGTTGTTTTAATTACTGTAGCTTTGTAGTATAGTTTGAAATCAGGGAGCATGATATTTCTAGCTTTGTTCTTCTTCCTCAAGATTGCTTTGGCTATTTGGAGTCTTTTTGGTATTCATACAAATTTTAGAATTATTTGTTCTAGGAAAAATGCCATTCATATTTTGACAGGGATTGTATTGAGTCTGTAGATTGCCTTGGGGGGTATGATTATTTTAACAATATTCTTCCAGTTAATGAGCAAGGTATATCTTTCCATTTGTGTAATCTTTAGTTTCTTTTATCAATGCCTTACAGTTTTCAGAGTATGGGTCTTTTACCTCTTTGGTAGATTTATTTCTAGATACTATGTTCTTTTTGATGCAGTTCATAAATGGGATTATTTTCTTCATTTCTCATTCTGATAGTTCATTATTACTGTGTAGATCACTGTAGATTAATTTTGTATCCTTTAACTTCTCTGAATTCATTTAAATGTTTTATTTTGAAAGGTATACAAAAGGAATTGTATTATATCTTTTTCTGATCCTATTTCCTTTTCCCCCTGACTTACTGCATGTTGGAGAGCTTTTTGTTATCAGTACGTAAAATTGAATCTCATTCTTAGTAGTAGTAATAGCTGCATAGTGTTTTATCATATGAATACATTTTTAGTTAACTCTTCCCTTGCCATTTACACTATGGTTATTCCTTTTTCTTTTTTTCTTTCTTTGTTGTTGTTTCCTGTTAAGGTCATGCTGCACTAAGCATCCTTGTACTATTGTCTTGACAAATATTTGTGGTTATGTTCATGGGATATATTTCTAGCAGAGAGATTGCTGTATCAAAGGAATAATATATATTTTAGTGTTGATAGATAATGCCAAATTGCCCTCTGGAAAGTTTGTGCCAGTTTCCACTTGCAGCAGCAGTACATAAGCATGCTAATTTCTCCCTTACCCTCAATAGTGCTTGGTATCATCAGACATCAATTTATGCCATCTAATAGAGGAAAAAAGTGGTCTCCTACTTTAATTTTTATTTCTTTAATTATAAGCGAACACTTACCATTTGTATTTTTATATAAGCTGACTGTTTATATTCTTTTTTGTTTTCCGTGTATTTTTTTCTTTATTCACATGAGCCAGGTATTTTATAGCTACTTGAGTTGATTGTGAACCTAATTTTGAATGTATAACAAACCTAATATTCCCTTTTGTTGATTATCTGTGGTTGGGTCACTTCTAGGTTTGTTTTGTGTTTGTATCTTCATAAAGATGGCTCCATTTCTTCATTTGAATGAAAAATACCAAGAATTTCATAAGATCAAAGGGTAGTAATATTTCATGTCTTTATGTAATACAGAAATGTAAATGTATTACATTTAACCAGTTTCCTTCAAGACTGATTTTGCATTTTCTCTAACTTGAATGTATTTTGGTTTCCATCCAGCAGTCTCCCAAGAAGTTTAACTCTCTTCTACCTTCTTCTACGGAGGAGGAAGAAGGGGACACTTGCACAATATGTTTGGAACAGTGGACCAATGCTGGAGATCACCGGCTCTCAGCATTGCGCTGTGGGCACCTCTTTGGGTATAAGTGCATTTCTAAATGGCTCAAAGGACAGACACGAAAATGTCCCCAGGTAAAGACTATAGTTAAGAACTGTCCATGTGTACAGTCAACATGTTAAGTCAGGAGGATTCCTAGAACCACACTAATTGTGTCCTGTTGGGCTCCTTAGTGCAACAAGAAAGCCAAGCACAGTGACATCGTTGTCCTTTATGCCCGAACCCTGAGAGCTTTGGATACTAGTGAACAGGAGCTCATGAAAAGGTAGGTGGCAAGAGTCTGCCTAACTGGAATATTTCCTTTTGGTTCCTTGTAGGCACATCTGAAAAAGGAGGTATGAGTCAGTTTTAGTGTGGTTCTGAGGCTTTCCTTGGGCTAAGTGATCCCCAGATCTGGGGATCACTGACAATCTGTCTCATAGTGTGATTTATGATACCTATCTGATCATTTGAAGGGTATCTTCATGGTTTGCTGCATATAGCATTAAAAATGATGGTCTGGAGTAACAAATAATTGTGACTTTAGCTTGCTCAATGAATGTAGGCTCCAGGACTTTTGCTCTAACCCCTGAGAAAGAATAGAATCCCAGAGAAAGAAGTCAATGCGCAGTAAAACAGAACGGAGAAGTGGAGGATGAAGGTCTCCTTTCCTGAAAGAGAGGGAGATGGAAGAAGAGCAGCAGGTGGTAGACTGTGCCACTTGTTCCTCTGTGTGCTTGGCACTTCTCATAAACCTCTGCTTTTAGGGCCTGAGTGTTGTGTGCTGATTGGAAGAGGTAGCTCTGCAGGAGGACTTAGGTGTGTGAACTTGAGATCAGCTTTAAGACTAAAGGTAGTATGACCTAGGGAGGCCAAGACCCTGGTGTGTTAAGCCCTCCTGAATTCAAAAGTCATAGAGAAGCTTTATAGCCATACAGACCTCACACCTCGGCCGGGGCAGCAGACCCAACCAGAAGGATAGCCTGGATTTTTTGTAACCTGTCCAGATTCTTCCCTAGGGGTTTTATGTTTCCTGCCTGCCTCTGCTACTAAATATTGTGAACACTGAATCCCGTCTTACTCTTTGTAGCCAATTCATGGCCATCTAGAACATTCTCCAAATCTCAGTCTCCTTGTCACTAGAGTAAGCTTAAAGATACTTTTTTTTTAATGAGGATTTTTGTTTCTTGTGTCGCTAAGCCCTCCTGTAGCAGTTCTCTACACAGAAGATTCATAACTGAAACTTTGCACATGGAGTATAATGCAAGAAATTATCGGGATTTTGGAAGCCCATGAACAGTTGCTAATAACAATACTTGTAAAATATGCTTTAAGAACATTAAAGATTAATTGGGAGAGTGCAGGGATGTGGGTTCTCTTGTGCATTACTGGTAAAAAAAAAGGTACAAGCACAAACATTTAGAGAAGCCTTTGGCAATATGCTTCAGAAGCCTTAAAAGTAATTCTGCTTCAGGCATTTATTCTAAAGAAGCGACCTAGATGTGTTCAAAGATTTACTTAATTAGACTTTTCATTTAGTTAATAATCCAAGCTGAGAGGATTAATTGGTTGACTAACTCTGGCATATTCGTGTGATGGAATACTGTACATTTACTAAAACTGATGTTAAAGGGCTCATGATATGCTGTCATGTGAAAGCACATTGTTAGTATGATTATATTTTTGCAAACTAGACAAAGAAAATACTCCAGGTTAGTCACTGAGGAGTGGAATTACAGGTGGTTTTAGTTTTATTCCTTTTTTTTTTCATTCTGTCCAACAGATACTTATTTGTAGCTGTTAGAATGTCAGCTACATGGAGGGGGAAATTTTGTTGAAACGGCATGGTTATTGAGTGATTGTATGTAAAAATGTGCTGACTTCTACAATCAATCAGTGTGCTCCCTAGCCTCTGGAGAGAAATTTCAAAATGCCAATAAATACAGACTGATAGAATGAAGACCCAGGCACTCAAACTTTATCAAATCTTCACATTTGCCATATTTGTTTCGAGCCTTTTAAAAAAGAAATATATTCTTATAGACAGAATAGATGCTTCCTTGTGCACTAAGTTCTCAACTCCATCTGTTTCCCCAGAGGATCTATGTCTATAAATCACATACAGTGTGATTTAAAAATTTTACAGTTTAGGCAAATATTACTGGATTATAATTTTTCTTCTGTAACTTGAGTTTTTGTTTAATACTCTTTTTAGGGCACATATCCTGGTTGGTACATGTAGCTCTAGTTGATTCATTTCAATTTCTATAGCGTATTCTAGTTTTCTAATTAGAATATACCTGTATGTATTTCATATTAGTGGACAGTTAGGTGGTTTTCAGTTTCTGTTAATATAAACCATGCTTCAAAGAGATAGGTGAGAGTTTCTTTAGGTCTAGAAATGGAATTGCTTTATCATAGAGTACATGTAATTTCAGCTTTACTAGATGTTGTCAAACTGCTCTTCCAAGAGGCTATTCTAATTTATATTTTCATCAGCAGCAATGTAAGAGATTTCTCATTTTTTTATACCCTCACGCACTTGATATTATCAGACTTAATTTTTGCTAGTTTTCATGGAGTGAAGTAGTATTTAATTTACATTTCCTCAATTGCTAATGAGGTTGAACGTACTCTTCTATAATTTGTGTTCACATCTTTTGCTCATTTATATTGAGCAAAATATTTTGTTGTTTCTTATTGAGTTATCATTCTTTGTTTTCCTTATACTGACTGTTGGTTCTATACATTGCACATGTCATCTCCCAGTCTATGACTTGTCTTCTTAACTTGTTTGTGATATCTTTTGTTGAACACAAGTTTTTAATTTTAATGTAGTCATTTCTTAATCTCTCATTTTGTGTTTTTTTGTCTCTACTACTTCATGATCATAGAGACGTAATATCTTCTTTTAAAAGCCTTTAAAATTTTTGGTTTTTATACAAGTTTTTAATCTACCTAAATTTTAGTTTTATGGATTATCAATTGTATTAATTACTAAAAGGTGTATTTCTGAATAAATTTCTATTGCTACCTCTATCCTAAATTAAGTTTCTATATTGTAAATGGACTACTCTTTTGTTCCATGGTGTGTTTGTTACTTCTTGTTCCAGTACTTCAGTTTATAATTTATTATGGCTTTAAAGTACATTCTTGTTTTTCAAAATTGACTTTGCTATTCTTGGCACTTTGCTCTTTCATACTAATTTTAAAATTAGTTTGCTAAGTTCCGTGAAAACCTCTGAGATCTTGACTGAAATTGCATTAAACTTTCAGAGTAACTTGAGACGTGCCATCTTTGGGATTTTCAGCCTTTCCAGCCATGAACATTATATAATATCCTTTCACTTATTCACTGTTTTCTTGTGTCTTTTACAAGTGTACTTTGCTTCATAAAGGTCTTACATACCATTTAACTCTATTTTTAGGTTGCTATTGTTAGAATGGCTGTTATGAATGAATTTTTTTCTGTTACATTTACTGATCAGTTAACTGGTGTATATGGAACGCCATTGATGTAACTTTTTTGATCTTGATTCCAGCACCCTTGTTGAACTCTGATATATTAGTTTGTGGGTTCCATTGAATTTTCCATGAATATTAATAAGAGCAGCTTTATCCCTTCCTTTCCAATTTTCATCTTTTTTTCTGTTCTCTCTCATTGGAATAGAAATCTCTTTTTTTGTATTTCATATTTCAGAGCATACAGATTTATGATTTTTATTCCTGGTAAATGTGTCCTTTCATTATATATTGTTCTCTTTATGTGTATTCATCCTTTTTAATTCTAATTGGTCTTTTTTTAACATTTGCCTGGTTTATACTTTATATCTTTTTAACTTTAGCTATTTAATTTGAAAAACTGATGAACAACCAATACCTTATTTTCCTTTAATCCAATAGGTAACTTAAGTCTTTTAACAAGTCATTTTACTCTTTTATAATTTGGCTCTACCTCAAGCAGTGAGCTTGGCTCTGATCTCTCATTTTGCATTTTTTGCATTTTTAGTCCCCATTCCCAAGTTAGAGACAAATTCCTGGCCATCACTGCCTACTTCAACACTGAGACCCACCCCAATAGGCTCATGAGTTCAGGCCTGCCTGCTACTTTTCTGTAGTGTTTATGGACTTGAGAGATTTTTCTCTTGTTATATTTCATTCACTGTCATGACATATTTGCAGCATAGTATCACAGCATGAATTTACTGTGCCATCTTGATGAGAAGTCTTCTCTTGCCTTTCTGATCCCCACCTGCTACTGGCTTTCCCCCTCTAGTTCCTTACAGAAGGAGCAGATGCTAAGGAAGCAAGCTGAGTTAGAATCAGCACAGTGTCGGCTCCGACTTCAAGTACTCACTGATGAATGCACTAAGCTTCATAGTCGTGTCCAGGTAAGTTTGCCTTTTCTAATCCAAAGAACTTTTGGAATAAGGATTGGGAAGACATCTAAATGTTACTTAGGTTCATCTCAGATATGAACAGGATTTACCAAGTTTTTCCGGAAGTAAACATAATCAACTCTTTCTGATTAGGGTTTACATGTTTGCTTTATGATGAATTCTACTCCATTCTGAATTTTTAAAAAATTGAACAGCTACCTGATAATTCAGAACTTGTTTAAGTCCTTTTACTTCCTTGAATCTATAAAATGAGAGTTTTAGACAAAATAACCATTAAGGACTTTCAACCCTAATACTCTTGTGATTCTGTGCTCTCCCTATTTCAATTGCTTGTTGAAATATTGTGAAAACTACAGCAGTTCTTTAGGAATCATGTTCATATATAAAGGATAAGAAATATCTTTGTATTAGATTAAGGAATTGTGTATGAAGGAAATGCCAAATGAAAAAGCTTCATATTTACAAGCTCTTTTTCATTTTAGGACTTGCAAAAACTTGTTGTGCAGCATCGGGATCAGATTTCACAGCAACCCAGGGGTTCCCAAGCACGTTTTCTAAGCTGCCTGCCCTCCAGCCAGAGCCAGCACAAGTACCATTTCCAGAAGACCTTCACAGTGTCTCAAACAGGAAACTGCCGAATCATGACATTCTGTGATGCCCTGAGCAGCCTGGTGGTATCACAGCCTTCTCCTCAGGCCTCCTTCCTTCCAGGTGAACAGTCCAGAGCCTCAGCTTTCATGTTCATTATTGGACTTTATTTATTTCTCTCCTCCCTTTCTGGAGAATCCAGGACTCACTAGTAGATGAACACCGTCCAGAGCCTAGCACTGTCCACAAACAAAATCACCTTTTCCTAGTTGGTTTCCTGTTAATAAGATACTTTAGAGAGTTGCAAAGTTGTCTTTACTGTCTTCATTCTGTAAATTTGTTCACCAGAAGGACAGAAATACCGAACCATGATAAAGTGAGAGAAGATAAGGTACTTAGAAGTGTGGATTACTGGTATAGGCCAAGGTTAAGGACATCATTCCCTGTATGACCTGCTCAAACACAGATTCATTTTGGGCTAGAAATATTTGAAAAAACACTACCCCAAGTAGTTTAAGTTAAAGCAAGATTTAATGCTTATTTTCAGTAGGGTTCAAATTGACAAATTCCAAATAAAAGAATTTGAGAACACATTAATTGTTTTATTAATACTATGCTAATCTACTCTTTTTTGTGTGCTTTTTAAGCTTAATTTTAGGTTTTCTTAATGCTGAAAACCAAATTTCCTCACATGCCCAGTGTTGTAGATGTTTTTTCTTACTGTCTTCAGCGTATGATTTCTGCCAACTGTCAGGTCCCTTTGCTTTAGCCTGATTTCCTGTCTCCCCACTTAGCAGTTCCATTCAGATCCTTCAAAACTATGTCCCCCACACTTGGGTGTATACCAGATTGGGAGTGAAATCCCTAGATTATATAAATTTCTCTGTTCACTAATTTTAGCTATGAGTCGAGAGGCTATCCGGAGATTCCAATTGAGGGGAAAGTAAAAGAATTGTTTATAGTGTTCCTATATCCCATTCAGATTTTTTATAAAAAGATTTATCATCAAATAAAACCTCCATAAAATAGGAAAATACTTATTTCTTCCAGTTATTTCCCAGATTGGAGGTGATCTGTTCTTTTTCTCTTAATACATGTATTCTTCTCTGCAAAGCTACTAGGTCTTCCTGATAGACTGATGGTGCTAATTTCTACATGTTTCCTTTAATGATTTACTATGCAAATACTCATGTTCCCTTGTTGATTTAAAGCCTATAGTTTCTGTGTTTGTTTCTCTGGCTCTTCTAATTCTGTTTCAGGGGAAAACACAATAAACTTTCTCCCATTTGGTTCCCCAGCAAAACAGAGGTGTGATTCAAAGCTGTCTTGAATCTAGGATTTGACAAATTCTGTTACTGTATAACTCAGATAAAATAGATACTTGGTAAAAATAAATGTATTATCATACTGTGATAAGAGTAACAAATAAATTTAAAAGGACAAGTTTTTGGTTTTCTTTTCCACTGTTGAAATGATATACATTGATTAGGATACTTGATGTCACCTATTTTCATTATATTTTAGACAACTGTAGCATATCTTGACCACCTGATACAGAAATTACTTATCTCCATTCTTTATTGTTCATTATCTCTTATACATCGTGAGTGTCTGTGGTTCACATGGAATAGTCTCTCTCTCTCGCTTTCTTTTTTGAAGTATAGTCAGTTTACAATGTTGTGTCAATTTCTGGTGTACAGTATAATTAGTCATACATATACATACATGTATTCCTTTTCATTTTCTTTTTCATTATAGGTTACTACAAGGTATTGAATATAGTTCCCTGTACTATACAGTATAAACTTGTTGTTTATCTATTTTATATTTATTTTTATATTTATATTATAAATACTATATATATTTATATTATTTATCTATTTTAGTATCTGCAAATCTCAAACTCCCAGTTTATCCCTTTCCACCCTCTCCCACTCTGGTAACCATAAGTTTGTTTTCTGTGTCTGTGAGTCTTTCTGTTTTATAAGTAAGTTCATTTGTCTTTTTTTTTAGATTCCACATATAAGTAATATCATATATTTTTCTTTCTCTTTCTGGCTTATGTCACTTAGAATGATGATCCCCACATCCATCCATATTGCTGCAAATAGCATTTTATTCTTTTTTATGGCTGAGTAGTATTCCACTGTATAAGTATACCACAACTTCTTTATCCAATCATGGGTCGATGGATGTTTAGGTTGTTTCCATGTCTTGGCTATTGCAAATAGTGCTACTGTGAACATGGGGGTGTGTGTATCTGTTTGAATCCCTCTTGTAACAACATTATTGAAGTATAATTGATGTACAATAAACTACACAGACTTAAGGTGGTGTACCACTTGATGAATTTTGATATATGCATACACTCCTGCAACCCATCACCAAAGTCAAGATAATGAACATACCTATTAACCCTGAAGGTTTGCTCATGCCCTTTTGTAATGCATCATCCACCTGTTCTTCCCTCCTCTCCTCATCCCCAGGCAGCCACTGATCCAGTTTCTGTCACTGTAGATTAGTTCATATTTTCTAGAATTCTACATAAGTGGAATCATACAATGTGCTGCTTTTTATCTGGCTTTTTTCAACGTAAGTTTTTAAAGATTATCCATATTGTGTGTATCAGTAGTTCATTTTTTTTAACTGCTGGTTAGTATTCCCTTATATGTTTATACACTGGTTTATCATTCATCTGTTGATGGACATTTGGGATGGGATATACTTTTTAAAATAAATTATAACCCCAGGGAATTTTTATTTTCTTAATTTGACTAGTTTCCTCCCAGAGACTTACATGGCAAGTAAGGTGAACAAAGGAGCTACTTGAAACGGTGGTTTGCTTTGGCCTAAATTGACTTTCAGTGATGTTTCACTCTTTTATCTTTGGCAGGCTTTGGTGTTAAGATGTTGAGTACCGCCAACATGAAAAGCAGTCAGTACATTCCCATGCATGGCAAACAGATACGTGGACTGGCTTTCAGCCGTCGATCCAAAGGCTTACTTCTCTCTGCTTCCCTAGATAACACTGTTAAATTGACCAGGTGAGTGCTTTGTGAGGAAGATAGGTCCTTGGTTGCCTAGTGTTGAATACCGTGGAAATTAGTATTTGTGGTATGATGACCTTGGCTTTTGGGGAATGGGGTGGGAGGCGTCCAAGGCATTGTCTTCTGAGATCCAAGTTCATTGAATTTAAAATGTATTGCTTTTAAAAGTGGACACCGCTGGTTACAAAACAATGTGTGCTGTTCTATTTCTTTAAAATTAAGTTATGAAATGCAGATGAGACTAACCCCTAGAGTTGGTGAAATGACAGTATGAAAGGCACCCTGGTACCTGACACCATGGAATCACCATTTTGACCTGGGACTGCTTTTCCTGCTCTGTTCCATGGATCATTCTTCCTAACAAAAATGCTCACCAGGAACTCATTCCCCTGGGTGACATGATGACTTCTCTCATCAGTAACCCTCAGTTACTGCGTTTTATCTTTCATATGCTCTGCAAGTGCCATGAACCAGATCTGAGTATGCTTCATGCCTCTGTCTTTTAGAAAGTAGATCTGATCAGATGTCTTTTAGTTGGCTTCCTGTTTAATTTCTGCAGCTAAATTTGAGGCACATCATAATAGCTCTATCAGGCCTGATGTACCCTTTGACTTTTCAAGAATGCTTTAGCTTAATGGTACATTGAGTTTTGGGGTAAAATTATGTTTTTGTTTTGTTTTGTTTTCCTTTTTTTTTTTTTTTTTTTTGGTGGGGGGGGTATTTAGGTATATTCGTTGATTTATTCTTAGAGGAGATACTGGGGATTGAACCCAGGACCTCATGCATGCTAAGCATGCACTCTACCACTTGAGCTATATCCTCCCCCCAAAATTACATTTTATATGTATCTATATGCTATGATTTATCCTAGCAGTGTTGAAAAATAAGGGGAGAAAAGTAAGGTTAAATACCAAAGTATTATTAATAACTACTTCTGGGTGGTGGGTTGTAATTTATTTTTTATTTTTCTTATACATGTTTTCTAATTTTTCAACATTAAAGATTGATTGCCTGTGTAATCGGTAGCTATGGAGAAGGTAACGGGTAGGGAAGGGAATGTACTGTTTATGTGTCCCTTTAGCTTACTCTTTTACTTCCTTACAGCTCAAGAGGAAAACCTGTATCCCTAAAACAAATATTTTGGATTTCAAAGGAGTTTTCTGGGCAGTCCTAGGGGAAATTGAGAATCCAGATACTTTGGCTGTGTGGGCATGTACTTGAAGGATCATCTTTGAAATGATAATCTTTGTATCTTTGCTCTTTATTTGATTTTCTCAATGCATAGTTGTAAAAGTCTTTTGTAACTCCACAGCCTGGAGACAAATACTGTGGTCCAGACTTACAATGCTGGGCGTCCTGTCTGGAGCTGCTGCTGGTGTCTTGACGAAAACAATTACATCTATGCTGGACTGGTCAACGGTTCAATAATGGTGTACGACCTTCGAAACACTAGCTGTCATATCCAGGAGTTAGTACCTCAGAAAGCTAGGTAGGGAGCCACTCACTCTTTTCCTGTAGGTAGGAACTTTCTACTGGACTGTTACTATTCATCCTCTCTTTTGAAAGTGTTTTACAGGCTGTCAGAATTCCTCACAGAGGGCAGTTCTTTGAGTCCACTGATGTATTCTCATTTCAGAATCAGTAAGATTCTTTGAGTTTGTGTTGATGATATGATAGAAAGTTCTGGTACCAAGTATAACCAGATTCATAGAGTCACTCATCACCCAACATAGCAAAATGAAGTCAGATCTGTGTTCAGAACCCAGCTCAACTATTACAAGCTGTGTAACCTTGGTCATGTTTCTTGGCCTGTTGTGAGCTTCATCTGTAAAATGTGGTTAGTGTAGACTTGCTTTAATACCCATATGTCTGATACACAGGAGGAGATCAAGTAAAGAGTAGCCCAGTAAAAAGTGATTTGAAACTTCCCCAATCCATATCTTAGACCAACTTGGTCTAAGGACACCATATTACTGTGGTTTTTCACTTAAAATCCAGTTACAGAGTTGGGAGGTTTGTGAAGTTGGCCCAAGTTCTAAGGGTGGGTAGCCACCATCACCGCTTAGGCTTTTCACAATGTATTGAATGCCATTTGGGGATAATACTCTTTTGGAGACATAAAGTTTTCCTAAAGAGTGGAGTCTGTGACTTAGGCCAAAATGAGAAGTATTTTGAGTGAGAATTTCCATTTCCAATTTAAATACATATTAAAAATGGAGCAGAGGAATCTAAACATAAAATATTACTATAGTAATAATTATTTACTGAAACCTAGGCTCAGCACTGTGGGGTTTTCTTTTCATATCGGGTGGAGTGGAATGATGCTTCAGTGGTATGGTCCATGGTCCTGAAGGTGAGTGATGTAAATTTATACAAATATGAACTCCAGGCAAACAAGCTAATTGCCACTGATGTAGATGGATCCACAGAAAGTAAACAATAAAATACAGCAAATAGCAAGGAAAGAATTTTTTATGTATTCATTTTTGTTTTAGTTTGCTTAGATTAGCTTCATTGTGACAGGGAAATGAAATAAAGAAAGCAAAGTGATAGCTTTGGCATTCTGAGCAGAAATAAGCTCATAGGAACATAGTCTGTAGGCTAATATTTCTGAGAGAGTTCTTGGCATGCAGTCCAGGTCATATGCTTACAAAAAGATACTTAGAAAATCTCTAAAGAAAAAATCCTGTTTCTGAATTAAAATGTAGTTGTTTTAGACTGTATTTTAATTGAAGGGGATCTGTCAACTACAGCTTGGAAAATTTATTGTATTAGATGTGTAAGCTGTGTTTCCATACCGACTCATCTTGTGTATGTGTTTAACCCCATTTCCAGAAGCTTCACACCAGTCAGTCTTCCTTGTGATTGTGATCTTGTACTATTAAATCTCCTAGCCCATTTTTTTTTCCTTGTTGCTTTTAGAGCATGTGGTGCCTCTGAAACTGGCTGTAGAATTTTATATATATGTATGCCCTTCTGTTTCTACAGAGTGGGTTGGTAGTTTTTATCAGATGTCAGCAAATAGTGATGCACAGAAGGTTTTTAACCTCTTCTGTAGAGGTAGGAATGTGCTCTAGGGCTCTTGGTAGTGGGGTCTGGAGCAGTCCAAGTATTGGAGGGTGAGGCATGCTTTCCTTTCTTTCCTTTCAGATGCCCACTGGTGTCCCTGTCGTACATACCCAGAGCTGCCTCAGCAACGTTTCCATATGGTGGAGTGTTGGCTGGAACCTTGGAGAACGCTTCTTTCTGGGAGCTGAAAATGGGCTTTACTCATTGGCCTCATGTGCTGCCCATGGAGCCTGGAGGCTGCATAGACTTTCAGACAGAGAGCAGCACCCGGCACTGTCTTGTGACCTACAGGCCTGGTGAATATTGGGATGTCCTCATGGGACAACGTCCTGTGGTTTTTTGGGAGTAGATTGGTAGAGGGGAGGAAAGGAGAGCTTGCTCTAGCCTTCAGGTGGTCCTGGTAGGCCCTCACAGACTACAGCTCCTGCTCCTATAGTGAGGATGGTGGCCCCAAATTCTTCCATGGAGCCTACCTCTCTGCTCCTCTCTTGTGTGAACTGAGGCATACTTTGAAGTGAATTAGCCATCCTAGGAGCCCCTATGACTTAAGACAATAGTGGAATGAGGAGACCTGCTCTTCAGGCCATTGAGCTACTCTTAGATCAGTTTCCATCTTTTCCTTGTCTCTCATTTCACTTAAAAGGAAGGCCCAGATAAAGGCAGCCATATATAGATTGGGCCCAGACTAGGGTGGTATCTACTGCTCCTTATTTGGGACCAACAAAAAGAGTAGATGGATATCCATGGTGGCCTAGCCAGCTGAACTTCTCACTGCCTCCAGAACTGGACTGCAACCTTTGATGACCAATTACGCTTAAATTTGCAGTTTTTTTTCCTAGCTGACAGATATGACTCTAGATTCCTGATGAACTCTGCTGATGGTCAGGCAGATGTTCTGTCAGATAGTCATTAAAGTGCCCATACTTCTGCTAGTTGTGGGTAGAACTAATCATTTTAAGTTTTGTTTGAGCTAAGAAGCTGCCTCAGCAGACTCTTCTGCCCCTTTTGGTTCTAAGTCACCTCCTAGGTCCTCTATCTCCAAAGATTTGCTGTGACTTGAAAGCTTGGGGGTCCCATTTTGTTCTCTAGTTTTTATTGTCTCCCAGCAGAACCACAGGTATATGTTTCCCCTTCTGTTTTAGTATGCTTTCATTTTAGAAATGTACAGTTCCAGGGGTTAATGGGATCCTCACTGGGGGAAGGAGAAAATCTTGTAGTCAGAACTCTTAGGAAAGATAAAATGTCAAGCAGGTCTGGGAAGGTAAAGTGATTTTCCTATAAAGGCTGACTCATTCTCAGAATTGTTTCCCTCATAGAGAAAAACCTATTGTAGATAAGTTGCTTTATTTTAACCAGGGTTCTGAATTTCATTTGTGCTGTATTATTTTGTTCTTGTTAAGTTTACTTTGTAGCTGTTCATGATAGTGTGATAAGTTGTGGCTTCTCCACTTGAATAAGTTGTAAGCGTCTGACGTTCAGGTACTTGGCTAATTTCTTTGGATCATCCCCATGGATCAACACTGATTTCTCTTCTCATAGATAAAAATCACACCACCTTACGAAGTGTGCTGATGGAAATGTCCTATAAGCTGGATGACGCTGGAGAGCCAGTCTGCTCCTGCCATCCTGTACAAACATTTCTTGGGGGACCTACTTGCAAACTACTGACTAAAAGTGCCATTTTCCAGAACCCAGAGAATGATGGCAGCATCTTGGTGTGTACTGGGGATGAAGCATCAAATTCTGCCCTGGTGAGTGAGTCTGTCATTTTTTACACAGAAGTATGTAAAGCAAAAGGTCAAATTTGTGCTCCATAACTGAACATATTTTCATATGTACATATGTGTGGTTGCTTGGTTTATGTTTTAAATGAGTCACACTTTATATACTGCTCTGTAGCTGAGGAATTTTACAGTGGAAGGGTCATTCTGTCACCACCTGAACACATTGATCAACCTTAGGATTACTGTAAGTGGATTAACCAGATGTAATTTGCCTCCTGGTATAAGGCAAAATGAAGCACACAGTGCCTCCTATGTGGTGTCCTTGAACCCATATAAAGTCCAATAAAGCCACACATTCCATGTGAGCACTTGAAATGTGGTTAGTGCAAGTGAAGAACTGAATTTTTAAGTTTTTATTTAATTTTAATTTAAATATAAGGAGCTTTATGTGGCTAGTGACCACCATATTGGATAGCACTACTCTAGAATCCAGTACTTTCATTTACTGGAATTGCATTGGGTAGAGGAACATGTTAAGTAATAGCACAAAAAGCAAACAGAAATCTAGGTTGTGGATGTTCTGTAGGGACAACTGACCCTGCTTCTGCAAGTCAGTAGAAGAAGGAAAAAAGAAGGGAGGTTGGATCTGCTCTAGAGTAAAAGAGGCTTATTAACATTTATGACTACCATGTATAATGTAGACCTTACTTTGATTCTGTTTCAGACAAACCAAACATAAAAAGAGACTATTGGAAAATTTTTATTATGTATTAGGTGTTATATAATACTATGAAATTATTGTTCGTTTTGTTAGGCATGGCAACATTGAGGTATAAAAGTCTTTTTAGAGATGTTTACTTCAAGTATATAAGGGGGAAATGACATGATGTCAGCAAAGGAACAAATAAAATCAATAAAGCAGATATGGTAAAAGCTTAATAGTCTGGGTGATGGATGGCTCATTGTACTATTCTACTTTTTGTTATTTAAATTCTTTTGCATTAAAAAAATTTTTTTAAAGGAAAAGAAAGCAACAATTAAACTTTCTGTGTTGTTGTTTTGTCTTGTTGGCCCCTCTGTTCCTAGACGAGTGCTTGGCACATAGATTGAAGGGATAAATACTAAGCTTGATTTTCAGATCCACTTAAAGGTAGACTAATCGCTGATTACAGTAGGTGAGGCTATATCTGACCTATGTCAGGTGTACTGGCTTTGTGCAACCTCATGAAGGTTAGGAACAGCCTGTCCCATTTCTCCCCAGGCAATACTGTCTTTGCAGGTCTTTCAAAGTTGTGTGATGATAAAGAATGCCAATCCCCCAGCTGAAATGAATGACTCCTGATCTTTATCTCTGCTTGTCTTTTTTAGCTGTGGGATGCTGGCAGTGGCTCATTGCTGCAGGATCTGCAGGCAGATCAGCCTGTCTTGGACATCTGCTCATTTGGGGTGAACCATAACAGCTACCTGGCTACTTTAACAGAGAAGATGGTCCACATCTATAGGTGGGAGTGACCATGGTCATGAAACTTGCCAGGCATGCTGCTGGCTAATGTTAAATGTTGTTTGCTAGCACCTAGCAGCCCTGAGCAAGATCTGTGCTTATTGTCTGTGGCCTAGAATTTTTGGGATCATGATTCCTTTGGGTTAGTATGATTCTAGGACTTCAGGTCACCAAAACACTACAGATTGTGTATTTACAGTGTCCATCAAAAGAGTAAGTGACTAGTACTCCATCAAAACTATCCATTTCTTGAGTTTAAAAGCCTTTATGAATCTTTGTTGAGTCTGTATTTTTGATCAGACTTTCTCCTGGACCTCGGAGAGGATCCTCCCAGCGGTCATTTAGGATATGACCGTGCACCAAGCATTTCCAGAGGAGGTGACACCCCACCAGAGTGCTCTTGTCACTTGAGCTGTATGACTTGGGAATGTTTATGACCCTGAGGGGACTAACCATCTTTTTGCTGCTTAGATGCAGCTTGGATGCAGAAGTCTTCAACTGAACACAAGAGGGTACTGTAAAACCTTGCAAAGGATTTGATCTATTTCTGACCTTGTGGGCTGATAACCTTCTAGTAACTTGGTCTCATCCCCACAGAATTGTGTGGTAGAACACATGTGGTCTCCTTTATGGTAGGAACAGTTGTGTTCCAGGTGTGCAGTGCTGGGATATTGGCAAACCCAATAATGGAAGCAGGTGATCAGCTATAGACCCTTTCCTGATGCCAAGTGCTTTGAGTTTATCACATTGTGAGTCAAGAAAAGAGACCAATTGTTCGAGCAGTGGGGAAGACTCATTTTTTTCTCTAGGCAGCTTAGGATCTCAGGATTGGTTTTATGTAAGCCAGTGCTTTGAAGACCACTCTTTCCCTCTCACTAGGAAAAGATGAGCTATATGTCAAGCTCTTACTCAAGTCTATCCTAGCATCAAGAAATCAGGAGCAAGGGCTAACCAAGAGAGGCTTACAAAACTGCTTAGACTGCTGCTGAAAGCAAAAGGGCTTATCTCTTCCATTTTGAAAGAGTTTCTCTGAATAAAGCCTACCCCTTGGAGGGAGGGGCCATTCTTGAGCATGTTTAGAATTCCTGCATTAAAGCTTCCCCTATGTGAAACTGATGTTTGATTCCAAGGTCCTCTGATTTGCCTCCCTACCTAACTTTTTCTTAAAGTATTGTTAGTAAAATAGTTATTCTCAGGAAGACAGTGATGGTTGGAAACCTGTGTGGATTGTAGGGAGACAACCACCAGCTTTCGTTCCAGCCCTGGGTTGTCTAACACTGGGAGCTGTACTTTGCTCCAGTATAGGGTTCAGTTTATATCTGTTTACTTTGCCAAAGGCTGCTCTGCTATACTACTGTTCACAACAGTGTATGCCTCAAGATGTGCTCCCTGTTCTTGGAAGCAGGATGGCTAACAGTGTGATTTTCTTAAATAATCATTGTAGAAACGTTATTTTTTTTTAAACAGTTCTGACCTGTCAACTCCTGAGCTCTTTCCAGCAATTCTCATCGGCAAGGGCTTATTGCAGTAGATTTCTCAGAGTTTCATGTTCTAGTTGTGCTTTTTAAAGAATGGCCTCCTTCTATTTAAGGACATCTTTTAAAAAGCCATTTTCCAGGGCCTGGGAAAGAGCCTTCTTTTCTTAGAAGAGGTATTCCTTTTGATACATTGATGATTAAGAATGACTGCCCAGACCTAGAGCTTCAGTGGCAGAATGGGATTTGTATTAAAAAGCAGAACTTTCCTGGTTTTAGCTGATGATTACAGAGAGGATGCAGTGGTCAGGTCCTGGTTGCCTTTGTCTTTTGCAGAGGCAGAACCCAGGGTAGGGCTAGGATTTGACACTCAGCTGATACTGATTAATTCCCCCAAACATAGGAACCAAGGGACTAGTAGTACTACTAGGGAAGTTGGGTGAATCTCATGTCTTACCAATCCTTTCATTCCTCTAGTAAATTTAGATGTTTTAGAAACAAATTATTGTGACTGATTTCTCCAAAGGAAAAAAAGCTTCACCCATGCTCCACCTCCCCTCCACCTGGCAGGAGATTGTATCCGTAGACCCATGTTCCCTCACCCCTGTCTCTGAGGTTGTTTTCCCATTTGAAGATTTGGAATTAAGCAGACTCAAAATACTTTCTTATTGTATGTATCCTGGAACCAGCTTTGAAAACCAGACAATGGGGTCTCTGTTAGTGCTGTTTGTTTTAATGTTTGTGTTTTACATTTTAATGTTAATATGAAAATAAAGAATTTACCATGTATACCAGTTTCTGGTATCTTTTGTCTGACTGCTAGAGGCAGAAACCTGTCTGCCTTTTGGGAGAGTATTGTAATCCCAGCCTGGTAGATTTCTTCATTTCGTGTAGTAGTAGGTTTGAATTACGCAGGATGGTCCTTGGATCTGAGGTAAACATCTTACTTAAATTGATGAGGTAGTTAAGGCTGTAGCTGGCAATTCTATTTTACTGTTGCTAGTGGGAAGTTCTGTGTTTGCCTGTTAAGAACTCCCCTACACTGGTCATTTGTCTGTCTTTTCTCAGATCCGAGGGTCTAAATCCTGCAAACTACATTTCCCAGACACTCTTTGCCCGTTGGTTTCCTATTAGTTTCTTTGAATCCAGAAGACTATAGTATGGGAGGAGGAGAGGACTTACCCTTCTCTTAGTCTTTGGCAGCACATCACAGTGGAGCAGCACTGGGCAAGTGTGGGCTCTTGGGTTTCTGCTCAGCACAGTTCTGGCCACTTGCCTCAGTTTCTTTGTTCTGTTTAGTTCAGAAATTTCTGTTGCCATAAATCATGGTGTTCTGGGATTAGACTGGAAAGATTGAAAATATTTTCCAGCTGAACAGCAAATGGAGTATACTAGATAGCAGGAGGACTAAATCTATAGGTATAAATAAGTTTTATATTGTCATGGAGCCTGGTGTTCCAACAGAAAAGGGGTCAAGAGGTCCTGGGTAAAGAAGTAAACCCCAAGTTAGTTAGGGGTTTAGTTAGTTTAGTTAGACTAAGACACCTAACACCACTGTTTTCTCTTCCATAGTACTCTACCTTTTGTTTCCCATCTCGGTGATTGGCTCCAAGTGAAATTCTGAAAATAAACATTTGTGGGTCCTTGTCCTTTAATCAATTTGTGTTTGTTGGTAACAATCTCTTCTGTTTATTTACCCCTTTATAGTTTATAAAGCCTCATCCTAATATATTAATTTTTAAGTGGTGGTGTGGAATAAATATTGTTATTCCAATTTACAGGGGAAGAAACAGGTTAAAAATCCAGTTAAAGAGGAAAGACATTTAGGTGGCATTTAATTAAATTTTAATATATCCTGGTCTTTATATTCTATACTTTGTGTTTAAAATTAAAATAAAGCTGACAGTTATGCATATTGTTGTGACAATTTACACTCTTCCAAATGCCCTCATTTGTCTTGGGTTTCTGAGTCCTAAGGCTGGGAACACCACTGTCCAGTGGAAGAGTCCATGATGTGGGCTAGAACCACCCCGTAGAGTGCTCATCACAGAGGTCAACTGAAGAGTGAAAGAAGGTGGTGGTGAAGCTGCTGGCTGTCTTGCTCTAAAGAGCAGGGTGCAAGGCTAGCAGAATATAAGGAGCTTGCTGTTGACATGTGATATGAGAAGTGCTATGAACTCTCACTTACCCCAAGGAGTAACAATAGATTTATCCAGTTATGGATATACCAAGCAGAAGAGCTCACCTAGAGACTGGAACATGGGCCCAAACTTAACAATATCTGGATTTGATTAAATGAAACTATTTCAGCCAGCTAATAGAATACAGGTAATGACCTTCTAAAGACACAACTGAAGCAATAGTTGAGAAGCAACACTCAGAATAGAGTGCCATTCTTCAGAATGCAGTGTTAAATAGGAGATCTGTATATGGTACTGTCTCTCCGATAGGAAGAATACATGGGTCCAGGATCCAACATGGGAAAACAGGAGTGACTCTGCTTACTGTCACTCCAAGGGACCTGGGTGATTTTGTACTTCCCATTCCAGCAACTCTGGGCTCCATATGGTTGAAGGTCCTGGGTTCCTACAGGGATGCACTTTGCCAGAGGACACAACATGGGTCCTACAGCTACAAATTATGGCCGCTACCAGAGCACTTGGGGACCTTGTGCCCAGGGACCAGTAAGTGAGAAGAGGAATCACCATACTGGCAGTGGTAACTAACCCTGATCAACAGGAGGAAGTAGGACTGCCTGTACATAATGGGGTTCTGCTTGTACATAGAGATGTTTGTACATAGTCTGGGTTCACTCGTCACACTCCCCAAGGGTTCTTCCAGCCAATGACTGAGCATGGCAGGGATGCTAAATGTAGGCCCATTTCAGGGAGGCTTTTATCCTAATAAGTCTGTTCCACAGCTAGTCTTGTCTGGAGCTTGTCTAGAACCCAGAATAGCCCACTAGTAGGCAAATAGTAGATAATGAAACTCTGTCTAGGCTGGTTCTCCCAACCACAGTGCTATCCTCAAGGCAGAAAATACATTGGTGGTTATCAGGAATTGCTGGATAAATGAATATATCTAATAATCATGGGTAGGGGGTATAGTTCAGTGGTACAGTGCCTGCTTAGCATGCACAAGATCCTGGGTTCAATCCCCAGTACCTTGATTAAAAATAAATACCTATCTTTGGGTTTTTGAGAAACCTCCATATTGTTTTCCATGGTGGTTGCACCAATTTACATTCCCACCAACAGTGTTCAGGGGTTCCCTTTTCTCCACATCCTTGCCAACATTTGTTATTTGTGTTCTTTTTGTTAATGACCATTCTGACAGGTGTGAGATGATGTCTCTGTGATTTTGATTTGCATTTCCCTGACAGTGATGTTGAGCAGCTTTTCATGTTCCTGTTGGCCATCTGCATTTCCTCTTTTGAGAAAATATCTGTTCAGTTCTTCTGCTCATATTTTAAGGGGGTTGTTTGCTTGCTTGCTTGCTTTTAAATTTGAAGTACAGTTGATTTAAAATGTATTAGTTTCTGGTGTACAGCATGGATGGACTTGGAGGGCATTATGCTAAGCGAAATAAGTCAGACAGAGAAAGACAAATACTGTAAGATATCACTTACCTGTGGAATCTAAAAAATACAACACACTAGTGGATATAACAGAAAAGAAACAGACTCACAGATGCAAAGAATGAACTAGTGGTTACCATTAGGGAGAGGGAAGGGGGAGAGGCAAGTTGGAAGTAGAGGATTAAGAGATACAAACTATCAGGTATAAGATAAGCTCCAAGGATGCACTGAACAACATGGGTAATATAGCCAGTATTTTATAATAACTGTAAGTGGAGTATAACCTTTAAAAATTGTGAGTCACTGTATTGTATACCTATAACATCATACATCAACTATACTTCAATTTAAAAAATATGATATTGGAAAATAAATACATAAATTTTAAAACTTCATAGGTGACAAAAAGAAGAAATCAACATTCTGAAAAAAGATACATACAAACTATCATGTGTACAATAAATAAGCTACAAAAATGAATGTCCATTTGATTATTTGTATAGAATCCAATGTTCTGTTGAAATTCTCTACTTTTCATACATGACATACTAGTCACAGTTAAAGTCTCCTTCAGATAAGTCCAAATGTCTGAATCATAAGGAGTTTTTGTTGACTTTTTTTCTTTCTGTTTTTTGTTGTTTAGTTTAGCTTTGTTTTATTTTTAGCATGCCTAATAATTTTTGATCCAATGCTAGACCATGCAAATTAAAAATTGTAGAAGCTCTGGATGATGTTAATCTTTTTCCAAAAAGGTTAATTTTTCTTCTTACAGAGTACTAGAGGGTTGCCGTGACCCCACTGAGGCATGTTTTAAGCTTTATTAGTGTTGGCCTACTATAGTTTTGCCTTTTCTTCCAGGGAAAAGGTCCTTACTCCTGGAATGTTGTCCTTTTCCCTGGGTGTGGCCTTTGTTCCTAGGGTGTAACCCTCCTGAGGCATGAGTTAAAAGCCTGAGGTGTTTATCAAGGCCTCTCTATACCTCAGCAGGGTCCAAGCTCTAACTTCTCTTTCTGCAGCACTGCTGAAATCTCTTAATTTATTACTCTCTCAGGTATTGTTTTCTTCTGGATTTGTTGGAGTCTGACCCCATGCATGCACAACTTAGGAGTCAGCCAGCCACTTGAGAGAAATTTGTTCATAGATTTTTGGTTCTTTCTCTGTGGTTTCCTTTTCTCTAGTTTTTTGACCCTTAAGTCCCAGCCACTTGGGGGATTCTGAACTCCTACCTATCTGTATATTTTCAGCTCAATAAGATTACTGCTTTCTGCATGGACTCCATTCTAAGCCACAATTTGGAAAGTCCACTCAAAAAAATCTGGGCTGGAGCTCCCCTATGTATTTACCTTTTCTCAAAGATTGTAGCCCCTCATTTCTGGACTGCATTAGTTACTTTCTAATCCCTCCATAGATATGTTATATATTTTATCTAGTTTTCATAGTTTTATTTCAGTGGAAATACAAACTCGTAGTCATGGTTGGAATCAGAATCCTCCCCAATTACATATATATAGGGCCTGTAGAGCCTTATGTCATCTGACCCTTGATGGGTCTCTGACTTCTTTTCCCTTTTCCTCATTTCACTGCAGCCACACAGGCCTTCATTTTGAATGCTTATTCCCATGTCAAGGGATTGAACCTGTTAATCTCTGCTTTTAGAACTCTTTTGCTATGGACTAAATGTTTGTGTCCCCTCCTTAAATTCATATGTTGAAATCCTAATGCCACTGTGATGGTATTAGGAGTTGGGGCCTTTGGACATGCTTAGGTCATGAGAGTCCTCATGAATGAGATTACTGTTCTTATAACAGTAATCTCCCTCGCCCCTTCCACCCTGTGAGGACATAGCAAGAAGTTGGCAGTCTGCAGCCAAGTAGAGGGCCTTCACCAAAACCTGACCATACTACCACCCTGATCTCGGACTTCCAACCTGTAGAACTGTGGGAAATAAGTTCTGTTTGTAAGTCACCCAGTGTGTGCTGTTTTGTTATATCAGCCTGACAGACTAAGATATCTTCAGATCACTGCCCCCCCCCCCTTTTTTTACTGATTTATGCCAATTGGCTCTTAGCTCAATGATCACTAGCTGTTGTTATGTAGAAGCTCCTATGCATCCCAGTCACCCCATATTATCTTTTATTTTCTTCATAGCACTTACACTATGTGAAATTATCTTGCTCCTTGTTCACTGTCTTATTTATCTTTCATATAAGCCAGTTCTTGAGAAATGTCTGGCATATTTTTAAAAATGCTTAACATATCTAGAGTGAGTTAGGGAAATGTGGATCAAGAAACAAAGGGTACAGTAAAGGGTAAAATGAAGTCCCAGTTTGTGATAGAGACAGTCTATTTTTTATTGAAAAGTCAGTGAGGCCAGGAGACCCAGTTCAGGTCAACCCTCTCCCCATTGGCTTGTGGGTTTGTGCCTAGACTTGCCTGATACAGCTTGAGCTGGCGGGTTTCCCAGATTTCTCTCAATTTCTTGCTTATTGGTCACTGTGATTTCAAGATAGGCACATACACTCGTCCCTATCTCTACAGGCAATCTGTGGCCGGGTGTAGGGTTTCCTCAGTGCAGGCTGTGAGCTGGCAACTGCTGGCTTCTCTTGGTGGATTGTCCATTTCTAGCCTTAAACTGGCTTCAAATAAACTCTCACTTGTTGTCGGAGCACATGCAGACTCATCATTGAAAATTAATTACCCTTAGTGACTTTTCAAGAACTTCACTTCTCTAGCTGTCCTGAGATTTACTATTTATTATGTATCTGTTAAGGAACATGTACATTTATCTTGCCTACCCTGGGCTGTCTTAGTCAATGCTCAAGATTGGCAGTAGTCTTAGGACCACATTATAGCGGTAGCAGGGGTGAGTTTTGGTAGAGATGCTAACATGCCCTCATTCCTAGAGACAGAGGCCTGTGGTCAGCCCCAGTGGGCAGTTTGTACCCCTAGAATATTCTCAGTCTCAGGTGTTCCTTATGGGGTCCATGAGCCCCCACCCAACTTCTCAGGTTCTAGTTATGTCTGACCTGGTCTTCACTGTCCATTTGTGGGTTAGGACAGCAGAAGCTGCATTTTTTTTTAACATGGATGACCTATTGGGATCACATGCACCAGCTGCCCTCATTTCCCAACATGCTATATTGGCAGGACAGGGTAAAAGCACACCGTGCTAGTGGGAGGCCAGGGATTCTGGTCCCAAGCTGGCAAAGTTCGTCCTGGGCAGGACATTTAACCCTGCTGTGTAGAACTATTACCATCTGTGCCATTCCTCAGCTGAAGTAGAACTCAACCCAGGCCTGATGCATGACTTAAATGACATAATGGCTGTGAAGATGCTTTGGGAAGATAGCAGCTCTCCTATGAAGAAGGAAGGGACACTGATGAGAAGTGAAATAACTATTCCTGAAAGACAGTTACCCAGGCACAGACTTAACCTGAAGCCTCAAAGACGTGTTTTGTTATTTTCTTCCCCTCCTTGAAACATGAGTTTAAATTCTGGCTTACAATCAGGACTCACATAAAGGGTTTCACAGTTTATTTCTAATACTGGCTATAACTTTTTTGAATTCCATATTGTGGGCCAGGCACTTTTTTACTATCATTTCTAATCTTCACGATTATACTTAACATTAGAGCTCCTCCTCTTCTTTCTCAGATAAGAATGAGGTCAAAGAAGTTAAGGGATTTGCCTAGTCTGCTGAAGAGCAAGGATTATTATGGGCTCTTTTCTTATTCTGGAACCTGTGCTCCTAACCCTGATTTAATGCTGCTTTCTTTTCCGGGTAAGAAAGGCTTTTGAGGCTGTGGAAGGAACCAAGGAGTGATGCGAGAGGCTCTTAGATGCTGGAATACACCTGATGCTGTAAAGTTCACCTCTACACATAAAGTTTTTTTTTTCAAGTCACTGAACGGATGGCATACTCTACCGGCCATCTTGGTTGTGGCAACCCCAATTCTTCTTTATTTTTCTGTGATGACAACCAAGGAAATCAGGCAAAGCCGCCCCACCCAGGTTTCTTAAGGAGCACCAAGAACTCCCCTGGCAAAGAGCGCCGATTTCCTGCCTGCGTAGGTCCAGGGCGTGGGTCACTACTAGGGCGGGCTCTGAGCTGTACTCCCAGCTAGCGGGGTCCGCGCCTGCCGGGAAAGGGCTCGGGTGGACCTCGCTGGGCCCCGCCCCTCTTCCCGCCCCCTCATTTAAATACGCGGCGCCGGCGGGTGCGTCGAGCTCGCCGCGGACCCAAGATGGCGGCGTGTGGACGTGTACGAAGGATGTTCCGCTTGTCGGCGGCGCTGCAGCTGCTGCTGCTCGCGGCTGCCGGGGCCGACAAACTCCCGGGTCAGGGCGGCCACATCCAGGGCCAGGGCCCCGGGGCCAACTTTCTGCCCCTCGTAGGGCAGCCTGGAGGCGGCGGGCCGGCGGGTCAGCCGCTGCTTCAGCTGCCTCAGTCATCTCAGTTCCAGCAGCAGCAGCAGCAACAGCAACAACAGCAGCAGCAGCAGCAACAGCAGCAGCAGCAGCAGCAGCAACAACCGCCTCAGCAGCAGCAGCCGCCTTTCCCGGCGGGTGGGCCTTCGGCCCGGCGGGGCGGAGCAGGGCCTGGCGGAGCGGGAGGAGGCTGGAAGCTGGCGGAGGAAGAGTCCTGCAGGGAGGACGTGACCCGTGTGTGTCCCAAGCACACCTGGAGCAACAACCTGGCGGTGCTCGAGTGCCTGCAGGACGTGAGGGAGGTGAGGAGACGGGACGGGGACGGGAGGTTCAGGCCTGGTGAGGGCCCGAGGGTGTCGCCGGCCTTGGAAGCCGCTGACGCCGGTCTGTTGCTTCTCTCGCTTCCTCTGTTGCGCTCACTCCTTCCCTATCTGCCCCTCGTTCCTCGGCGCATTCCAAGACGAGGACCCCACCCCCACGCCTCATTCCCTCTGGGGGTCTGGGACGCCGACCCGGGCTCCGGCCGCAAACGGCTAAGGCCCTGACGGTGTTGATGTTTGCTCCGGTCTTTTGTGTGATGCCCTAAGCACTGTGGCTCCTCGCCCAAGACCTGTTTAGGATTTTGCCGTCCGTTTAGACTTGGATAATTTGTAGCAACCCTTATAAACATGAAAAATGGTTGGCGTACTTAAGCTGTTAAAGAATGCTCTGTTTATTGGCGGTAGATAACGTTTGTTTAGATATCTCGGGTTGTATTCTGATGTGTATTGTGTTCTGCAGCCGTATTGACTGTCTTTCCCTTGTTCTTTTGTAATTCGAAAATTCTTGTTATCTACCAGCTACTGAAACTGTGTGCTTTTTCTTCTTCACTTCTTTTCATCAGTTTGTAGTGAATCTCAAGTGTAAGCTATTACGCCAAGTGATTTAGAGTCTCAAAGCTTGAAAAGTTGGGGCAGCATTTGAGGCTGTATTGATTGGGTTGTGGGGTCTGCCTTTCTGATGACTGAATATGATTTTAACAGTACGTCTTAATGCAGTCTAGGTTTGATGTTGTTTGATGTTTTGATGTAACATAGAGAATTTCTTCTTTAGATTTAATGCTGCAGATGTAAGTGCATATTTGACCATTCCCAACGTTTGGAAGCAAATCTGGTAGGGATACTTCTTTCTAAAGGTTTGGATATATGGAATCAGGCCCAAAGATTGACAAGTAGAGTGAAGCTGCTCCTTGGTATAGCTTTGTTTGGGAAATTGTTATCAGAATTGTGTAAGGTGTTCCTGGTCATGGGAAGACCACTGGTTTGTGAAAAATTGCTAGTCTTGGCAATTATTCTCCCTTCATCCCACTGTCATATTTGCTCTGATATTCCATACAGAGTAAGTAATTCACAATAGGAAAAGATACCTACTCAGGAGACCAAAAGGATGTTTCCAGAGCCGTCAGTGATGTGGGGCCTTAGATGACTTCTCATCTACAATTTGAAAACTAGAAAGATAATCCCTTGTTATTTATTCTTCAACTACTCCTCTAGTAGATACAGCTAAGATTCTTAACTCTGTCAACCTTTTTGAAATTTTCTGTTTGACCTTTGATGATATATAATAGATGTTATTCCCTCAAATTAGGATCTTAATATTGGAGACCAAACATTTGGTTAGTGGTTTCTGGCAGAAACAGGATGTTATTAGAAAAAGTGTCAAAAAGTGGCCTATTCATGGGGTACGTATCTCTTTCTTTATGTGTATCAGATAGGGACTTTTGGAAACCTTCACCTACACGAGCATCTTCCTTTGACATGCATGTAAAAGTGGGTAGCAGCATGTAAAATCCATAAATATCTTAGATTTGACCTCTTTTGGAGTCTGTTTAATTTGGTAGGTGCTATCTTTCTTGCATTGCTTAGTGCCAAGAACCTGGCCTAAAAATGTAGTCTCTGCTCCACCTTTGACTGTAAGATTCCCAGCAAGTATATTGTTTTGGTAACTACATTTTTCTTCCTTTATGGGGATGTTATATAAACTCTTTGAAGGTAGTTACTAGATCCTGTATTTTCTTTGTTAACTTTCCAGAGTACCTAGTTCAGTGCTGACACTCAGTAAATAATGTTGACTGATTGAGGATGAGTAAACTAATGGAGTCCTTTTTATGCTCCAGAGAGAGGAAGAAAAGGTGTCATCTAGATTGGAAGTGGGAGTTTTGGGGGAGCAGGGCTGTCCAAATTTCTAATTTTCTTCCAATTTTATAGACATAAAAATTGAAAAAAGAGTACCGTGAACAACTGTGTATATTCTTCAAGAGGATAGAGCTATTTTTAAGCTACTTTTTTTTCCTTTAAAGACTGAAAGGAAATTTTATTCCAATTAGTTTGACAATTAGTTAAGTCTAATGTATGTGTTTGAAACAATTAAAAAAGTAAACTAGCTAGGCACATTTGGATGAAAGTATGGAATATGTTTTGTATGTGCTTTTTGGTAAGTAGGACAGTTTGATAGGGAAGTAGACATTTGTGCTTCTTTATCCCTTTGGATACATATTTGGGAAGATTGTTCTCTGTTCTTGCTATTAGAATTAAGAAAAGGCAAAACATGTGACTGTTTAAATGGCAGTGTAGTAAACCACATTTTTATTTTGAAACATTATGGGTATATAGTGTTAGGTTAAGTCTTAAGTTCAAATATTTTAAGGTTCACTTTAGTGTAGTTTTCAAAGTTATGTACTAATTCACTTACAGAATCTGTTTGAAGGTATTTATGGATGCTTTGAGTTTGTCTAATGCATCATATGCCAACAAATTAAAATTTTATGTGTAAACTGTAGTAAAACTGCATATAGTCTCATTTTGTCCTTTGTTTTGAAGGTATGTGTTACAGTTTTTTAATGCTCTCAGATGAGTCATACTTTTTAAAAGGTCAAGTATTCCCAGTGGGCAAGCTGTTACATAGTGAGTATAATAGCAGTAATGGTGGGACTGGAGTCCTGGTTATATGTATATATTTACAACTAGTAGTGGTTCTAGTTATAAAAATACATAATTAGAAAGTATAAAGGGAAAAGGGAAAAATATACCCTGGGCTGTTCTGCCAGCTAGAGTAGTAATACCAAAGAAGGAGAAGTTACAGCTGTCTAGTTTAGTATTGGATAAAGAGATAAGACATGCTTTATATTGAGAATAATTTTAAAATACTTTATATGTTTTTGACTAAAATGACCAATAATGTCTTGTGTTTAGAAGATTCAGATGGAGACACTGGTTCCTTAGAAGAAGTTTATTAGTGATGTGCAGAGTTTTTATTAGGGTTTTTTTTTTTTTTGTCGTTGTTGTTAGATTTAAAAAAAAACAAAAAAATCTTTCTAATATGGACAATTTCAAACATAAACAGAATTAGAATAGTATGATTACTTGCTAGGTATACATCACCTAGCTTCAACTATCCCCACTTTTTTTTTGTTCTGTCACAGAGGTTAGGAAAATGGCATATTTTAAAGCAAATCCCAGACACTATGTCACTTAACTTAAAAATACTTCAATATGTGTCTCTGATAAGATCTTAAAAAAATAAAACAAGAACCTAAGTGTTAGTTTTACTATTTAAAAGCATCATGAAATATTTCTCCTGAATTTCTTGGTACCTTCTCTTGATATATCAGTTTTAGATTATAAATTTGTGACCACTATCTCTAAGTTATGCACATAGTGAATGTTTTGTATATATTTATTTAAGATGGATTGTTTTATATATTGAGCAGGAATTAACATTTCAACATTTACAACACAGTATACCCATTTTCAAACTCACAGGTGAATGTTTTTCTTTCTCTATTCTTAGCCTTTTACTTAGTTGTATCCTAAGATGGTGTACTACACTATCTATATTATCTCATTTAATATTCTTAGTAGTCCTGTGAGGCCGATAGTGTTGTCTTATTATCTTAGTTGAGAAATAGGCTCAGAGAGATAAAGTTATTTATCCAATCTAATTTGTCCTGTCCTAAGTATTAGGGCTGGTATTCAGCAAGTTCTCTTTGACTTCAAAGACCATACTCTTTCTAATCTACCATGGATGGTTGCAGCTAGGGAAATTAGTATGTGGCTGTTGAGAATGCCAGGGGTTTGTAAATGAACACTGAATGAGAAGAATTGCCTGGAATTAGAATCCTCTTTTCTTCACTACCAGGAACAATTGGGTAGCAACAGCTTCTTTGCATTGTAGTATTGTAGATTTTTCAGGTGGACAGACCTCCATTATTAGACAAAGCTAATTTAGTTACTAGTCTGAGTCCATCATGAGCAGCATTTTTGCTTAATGAAAAGATTTTCAAGTCCCATCTCACCTTAAGTGTAATTTGTATTAGTATAATGGTAGAATTTAGATACATTCTCCTATTTGTATTGAATCTGTGGAACAGCACAAAGAGGACTAAAGCTGGCAGGCACTGCCATTAACTAATTGTATAACTCTGGGCAAGTCATTTCACCACTGTGAGTCTCAGTTTCCTCATGTATTAAATGAGAGGTTTGGGTAATATTACGGTTTCTAAGATCCCTGTTATTTAGCCTATATAAGTTGTTTCCTGTACATATTCCCTGTATGATGTATTTTATAGTTTCTAGGATTTATATGTATACCATCTCCTGATATCTTATTCATTCATGGGGAGAAGTTGTGATATGAATAACGCAAACAGCAATTAATCTAAACATTGTTCAGCTTTAGGGTATATTATGGTTGTTTTGTTTGAGCCAGTGTGGAATTTCCTACTATGCTACCTCTCAGTGGTTGGAAGCACTCTAACCACATAATCAAGGCATTATTGATCTCTATTATACACTTACTGTTGTGGAAGAACACTAGTACTTAAAGACACCACCATTGCTTACAGTTGGTTTGATAAACGAGATTATGATCAAGAAACAGTTATGTAAGAGAGTGTTCATCACTTGGTGTCACACAGACAGTAAATTCTTTAGGGCAATGAAAAGAGCACAAAATTAGGGTTCAGACTTGGATGGAACCCAGCTCTGCTACTCTTAGCTTAAAAGTCAAATCACTTTTTTTTCCCTTAAGTACGGACACTTTACTTTATGCTTGTAAGTGAAGATAGACATGAGTTCTTGAGTTTGATGTATTAGTTATATTTTTCTGATACACTTAAAATATATGACCATTAAAGTATACAATACTAACACATATTGCCTGAAATCATCTTGCTTACCACCTATGGTGCATGCTTTGGAAGATGCTAAGACTGGATTATCTCTTAAGATCCTTCCAGCTCTGGTACTTTGTGATTCTGTAATCT